CCACGCAAACGCACTTTCCACCAAGGCCGCGCAAATCCGCATGGCGCTGCGACATCACGGACGTAATTCGCCACATGGTCTGCCCACACACTAGAAGCAATCATATCGCACCATAGGCAAACACTTCTGAGTCCAGCTCCGCAACGCTGTTTCCCGCACTAGCACTAGATTTGTTTTACAAACTGGCCGCTTCTGAGTCCAGCTCCGAAGGCTCTTTCCCGTACTATATTTGTACTACAAACTGGCCGCTTCTGAGTCCAGCTCTAAAAAGCTCTTTCCCGTACTACATTTGCTCTACAAGCTGGCCAGTTGTGTGAGTCCAGCTCCAAAAAGCTCTTTCCCAGACTACATGTGCACTACAAACTGGCCACTTCTGAGTCCAGCTCCGAAAAGCTGTACGAGACTTCCTCCAAAAGTGAAGCGCCAAGTCTCCAAAACGAGCGTTACGTTTTCGTACGAGACTTCCTCCAAAAGTGAAGCGCCAAGTCTCCAAAACCAGCGCTTCGTACGAGACGTCCTCCAAAAGTGAAGCGCCAAGTCTCCAAAACGAGCGTTTTCGTACGAGACGTCCTCCAAAAGTGGAGCTCGACCAATCCAAAACGCACTCTCGCCTGCATTTCGCGCCCTCGACACGCACGATCTCCGCGCAGGGTCGCGCCGGACCGGGCCAAAACGCACTCTCGCCTGCTTTTCGCGCCCTCGACACGCGCGATCTCCGCAGAGGGTTGCGCCGGACCGAGCCAAAATGCACTCTCGCCTGCATTTCGCGCCCTCGACACGCACGATCTCCGCACAGGGTTGCCCGCGATCGGGCCAAAACGCACTCTCGCCTGCATTTCGCGCCCTCGACGCGCACGATCTCCGCAGAGGGTTGCGTTTCGTGGTGCTCCGGCGGCACCGCCCCCGGCCTTAAGAGAGAAAGTAAAGAAGAGCGAGAGGTGAAGATGTGAGATGATCGATGTGAGGATGTGAAGATGAGCAGAGATGTAGATGTGCAGATGTGAACATGAGCAGAGATGTAGATGTGCAGATGTGAACATGAGCAGAGATATAGGTGAGAATGTAGATGTGCAGAGGTGAAGATGTGAAGATGTAGATGAGATGTAGTTCTGCAGATGCTTTTTTTACGAAGAACCCTTCGCAGGCGCTCTTGGGAAAAACGAAGAAGTCCGTCTCCGTGGCCAGGCACTGAAGTGTGTCTTCGCGCCTTAGCACCAACCTGCTCAGTGCCCGCAGCAGGTTGTTTGAACCTTGGCGTGGACTCGCCATTGGTGTTCTGTCCTTTTCTTCCTTTTCCTTTGCCCTGGCTCTTTCCTCCATTCGACGTGGTGGACCGACGCCTCTTGGCAGTCGACGTCCATCTTGACCCATTGGTTCAGAGCTCCCCACATCTCGGAGACTTGGTTGGTTTCCATGTCCATGGTGGAGGATGGCTAAGAGGGAGGCAAGAGTATCAGGCACTGAGCTGCGGTTGGGTGACATTTGCAATTCGAGCATGGTGTCTGAGCAGACGAGCCACCACCTTAACCAAATTCTGGGAATTGTCCGATGAAGGCTGATGATTCTTCTGCTGGGCTGTTGCCGGTTTTCCCGTCTTCCCTTTGCCTTTCCTTTGGGTGTTGACTCCATGTTCGTGGTGGATCATCTTCTTCAGTTCCTCTGCTGCCGCCATGATGACCGTGGTGCAGGATCACCAAAGGGGCAGAGAAGTGCAAGAAAACTTGACACTCATGTGCTGCAGTGAGATGCAATGAGCAAACTGAGCAAGTCTTTTGATTCAATTGTAGAGGTTTGAGGAATTGGCGGTACAAGCTGCCCCGGTTGCAATGCTTCGCGTGATTGTTCCAAAGGTGGATTCTCAACTCCCTGGAGGTAGTAGCGTGACCACAAAGGCTGCAACACTCCGCCAGACAGGAAATGCATGGCATAGAGCAAGATCCTCGTGGGCGTCCTGAAATTCCATCAGATCGTGGTGGACAAACAGTGCCAAGTGCGTGTATGCTGTTCGAGCACACGAGCAAGGAGGCTCCTCAATGCACCGAAGTTTGGAAGCCACTCAGCATACCTTGTGGTTTCCACACAGTCTTTCCCGTGCTCCCTGCGCAAGTGTTCGAGCAAGGAGGATGAGCTTTGTGATCAGCGCGAGCAAAGACCACATGCCAATCCAAGGCGCCCATCAGGGGTGACCGCCATCAATATGATCCTCGTGGTCGCGTCAGCCTGCAGCTGTAGCAAAATGCCTATCACAATGCAGGAAAATCGAGGTTCTATGCGCTGTATGGGCTGAGGCTGAGGTGTTAGCTCGATGCTTTCGATCCCCCAGGGCTAGGCCCAGTTGCTTCATCGCAGGGCAGGTACGGGTGTTGGACGTAAGGTCTTGACCACAGTAGCGACAGAATTTTGAACGCGAGCGCAAGCAATGATGGAAGAACATTGGGTGTGATCTTCAGCATGGTCGCTGCTCATATATGTGCTCCCATTTGCTGAGTGCGACTGGCCCAGAGTCCACAAAGAACACATCGATGTGTCAGAAAGTTGCAAAGCGTTTGATCATCTTTCAGGATCTGAAGCTCTCCAGCATCATAGATGTTAGAGTCGAGTTTGTTTCAACAGGTGCAAGGATTGTGTGTGTGTGTTGGATGTCAGCTGGTGGTATGGCCATGTGCGATTGCGCGTGTCACAGCCCTTTGAAATGATTTCTTCCTGACTGTGTCTGCTCGCTGGCGAGGTTTGCCAGGTGTAGGATTCAAAGTTTCAGGTCCACTGCCACACTGCTTTGTCAGATCGATGAGGTGTCGTGATTCCGCTTCATCCTCGGGAAGATGAATGGGTCCCTCTTCTGGTTGGTCTTGAGTCAGATGGAGGAATCCCACAACATGGTCTTCAGCGTCAGTGTTGCCTCTCTGACTGAGCCGTCTGACGCCATTCCAATGTCTGGGTCAGCGTGATTTGGAGCCGGGGCCCGCGCTCAAAAAAGAGAGAAGAAGTCAGAAGCACCAGTTGGCTTGGTGCTTGAAGAAAGTTTCTCTGGTCTTGGCTGCAGTCTTCCTCCTTCACTCTAACTTCCTTTTCCCGACCTCTTGCTGCCAGGCTGGCGTTCTTGATCCACTTCCATCTTCATCCGGCTCTTCCGCGCTCCCCACATCTCTGAGACCTGATTGGCGCTGTCCATGTCCATAATGCAAGATAGCCAGATGGTTTTGCTCAGACAGGCTTGCTCCGTATTCTATTGCAATGTTTGGCGTGCTGATTCCGGGGATGTTGCTCATTGCCTATGAGACGTCGAGGGCTGCGCAGATTGACTCATCCTGAGAAGCTTATGGAAGTTCCCTGTCCCCTACTTTCCTCCCCCACCATAAACACTTCGTCCGCCGCATAAACATGCAGCTTAGGTTTGCGCATCAGCGGCGCCCCAACCCACAGAGCTTGCTCCATGGCGCCAGGCGCAGGGTCAGGTGCGCAACTTGCCACGAACACTGGCGTTCACTTCTTGGCTCCAGAGCTCAACGACTCGCCCGTATAGAGGTGTTTCAAGAGGAGGAACAGGCAGCTCCGGAACCCAAACCAAAAGCGAAGAAGCCCAGACCGCAACCAAGACCTATCATCAGGTTCTCCAGCACTGCGGCGCAGGCAAGGAACTCCGTCGGCCGATACCTCGTTCGTCTTCTAGACGCAGCTGGCCGATCCCAGTACCACTGTGCGTCAGAAGTCATCAACGAACGTAAGCGCACGGGCTGCTTAATCTCTTTCACGTTTTGCGCGCGCAAGAGGGATAGCCCCACGGGGTCATTCAAATTTCTCCGCATGATTCGTGCGCGCGGCGTGCGCGGGTGGAAGCAGCTTTACGTGCCTTCCAGGCCACAACGTGGGACGGCAGGGTTCGGCTTCGCGCGCAGCCTCTGCCCGTCTGGCAGGATAACATGGGCAGGCCACCTACTAGTACATACCTCAAGTGGTTAGATGGGAAGGGTCGTATCATGTCTGCTGTCCAGCATTACACCCGAAACGGTGGTTCAAGAAACTGAGTGGTATGTTGCTCAGCTGACACCAATATCATGCGCGGTAGCAGGCTGAAGCCAGGATTGCTTCATATAGTTCTGCCCAAGGAACACCTTGACCTAGACGATGAGGATGGCTTTCACACTTGTATCAGCCTTCTGTTGCGGTCGAGACCGACGTGACGAGACTATCGAAAATATGGTCGAGTGTTTGATGGACATCCTTGCTCTCATGAATGAAGCGTGCAATATTCCTCACAACGAGGCCGCAGGCGGAAAGTGACCACACTTGTCACTGGTCACCAAACTCCTTACTAGAACTGAAGTGCTCAATGACCTGAAGCCTTTCAAAAGATACGAGCCGAGGGCCTTGTTGACGAAGGCGCCTGGGAATATGAGTCCGTTCAAGGGTCAGAGCCGACGCAAAGGCGTCAGGTATTGCGGTTCATTTTTCTGAAAGTTGATGACAATAGCTTCCATCAAGTTCTATGAGCTGGCCAAACATCTTCAGAAGAAGAAAGGCCGTATTCCCTAAACTTAGGCCGGATTTTATAGAATTTATCTCTCATCTCTAAAAGAATGCGTCGATGACCCTTCGATCGACATCCTATGTCGACGCGAACGATCCGGCAGCGGACATGTTTACCACGGATCTAGCACTGCAGAAATGGTTCAAGGCCTTGTGAACTCGTACCGACATGAAGAAGATTGCGCCGTCCACCAGGGACAGCATTTGGTTCGAGCAGTGGGTCGCCGTAGCCGCGGCCGTAGGCGTGGTAATTCATGCGTGTACATAGGTGCGGCCACAAAGCAGGAAGGGGGGAGTCAGTTAACAGCGCGTGCAATTTAAACGTTCATCTTCTTCACATAGAAACGGTTCACCGAGGACATGCAATATGTACGTTCCATCCATTACATCTTGGCTCAAGGAAAATTGTGCGCCCGCACATGTATTCCTAGGGCGCATTTCGTGCAAGCGCTCGTGGTGCGTATTGTCGTCATCGTTTGCCGTCGCGCACTCGCTTGTCTTTTGGACACCACGGGCCTCGCGGCTCAGGCTCAGGCTTAGCGCATATTGACCCACCCCCCTTTGGAGAACGTCCTCTGGACCACAAACTATCTACCTGAGCGGTTGTATATTTTTCTCGATTGACCTGCCCTGGAATGGAGTCCTTCAGATACTGGATGAATTTTTTGCCCGCCCCCAAAATGTAGAACTATATGCGCGCTGGGTTTGTCATAAACCTCCTGTAGCCTCAGAACGAATTGAGTTCTGTAGGGTACGGACTCAGGTATTCATCCAGATCTTGTGGTGCGCGGCGCTTGTACAGGCTGCAAATTCTAGGCGACCGGAAAGACGTTGTTTTTTGCTTTTGTTGCGACAGAATCGCCTGTATGCTTTGTTGGGGTTCCATTTGAGAGCTTCTATTTTTCGCTTGGTTCGGAGGACGATGCAGGGTTCTTGAGGTTTGGCTCCAACTGCGTCTGATCCACACAATATGGGTCAGAAGGGCGATAATCTATTCACTGCTTACCAGCACTATTTTCCATTCATTTTGAGGTGTCTAGAACTGCTTCTAGGCTTCTATAAGCTGCCCCGCAAAATTTTGCAATAGTTATGTGCTCAAGTCTCAGACGCTAGTCTCGACAGATGAGGAGAAGAGGCGTATATGGGGGCTTAAACTGTTTTGTATTGATCGGCGGTGACAGCTCAGAAGATCTGAAAACTCTGGGGTGCGGGCCCACTCTGCCCTCGAAGATGATAAGGGAGAAACCAAAGGAAGAACCGCCTAGAGAACAACAATCCGAAAGAAGAAACCATGAAAGAGTAGTCTAGCACTTTGCGCAAAGAGTGCTTGAAGAAGGCCTCGCATTTTTTAACGTCTTTCAAACAACTTTCTTCATTACTGTAGTGACGGGCCTTAGGTGTGGCCTTCCAAACGCCATACCTCTTACAACTGCTTGGCCGTGTTGTTTCCAAAACGCCCAACCAAAAAGCTTTCATTTTCCAAAACCTTTCCCAAGGCGAGATAGGATTGGTGCTTCAGCGCAGAGCGCTCGCATTCCTGCATCTTTTTTCCTCGCAAAATGGTTTGACATTGCTTGAGGCCCAATCCTGCTTATCTGCGTAAAGTTTTATTGCTTTGAGCCCCGTTTCCCTTTCTACGATTCCACAGCTGCAATTCTGGAATGATGAGATGTAGCCAGATAAAGCTTCCCAAACATGGAACCTTTTGTGGGGAGAATTTGGTGTTGTCAACACTGGCAGGTCGCGTAGCAGTTATTTTGTTGGCTCCTCGGAAATGGACAGCAGGATCTCGATGGAAAGTACTTTAGACCTGTATACATATGAGTTCAAAAGGAAGTTGCTTCTTCGTATGCAATCTTGTAACATGTAAAGCAATCAAGCAGACAAACAGGGGTTTTGGTGGCCATACTTGTGTCTGAGCGGATGTAAATTTTCTGTGGCGTCCTCCGTGTTTTCACAAGAACATGCTTGATGACCACGAAGGCTAACACGTTTGCAGGAAAATGTTGCACTACATCTGACAACTGCCCAGGTTTTTTACAGTGCCCTTGCATTGTGTTGCGGCGCAGCAGCCACTTGGCGCGTTAGGCCAGCGGAGGATGAAGCCTCGACAAGAAATGCTTCAAGGACCATCAAGGTTCGTTGCGATTAGAATTTGGAGAAACAGTGAACAAACGCGTAAGCAAGACTTCCCAGCAGAAAGTCATTTTCGATGGACTTCATGGACCTTGCATTTTCATAGACTCCACACAGTCCATCCCGAGGAAATTCGAACGTTTCCAAGGGGAGAACTTGGACAGACACAATTTTTTCACATATCTTGTTATGCTACAAGTCGATGATTCTAATCGTTTATGTTTGTTTGAACATTCTGGTGCGACTCCACCAGAACTGAGTCAAACAGTTTCATTTCAGCCACACCACTGGTTTCAAGGAAGCCGTGCTTGACGGTGCTTCTGTTGAATTGATGTATCTCGGAGCCAAGAGAAGAAGAGACTCAGACAGACCTTGGTCGACACCCTTGGATCCTTGAAAAGCTGAATGGTTTGACATGGTCGGTTGTGTGTTTGTTATGATGACTGCAAGTGTAATGAGATACAGAACAGAAGGTGCCAAGTTGGCATGTGGTTGGCAAACAAATGGGCCAGTAAACCAGGTGAGCATATTGGGATAGAGGTAGCCGCAGATTCAGGTGTAGCTAGATGGGAGGACTGGACTTGAAATACATAAGGATGCAAGAAGGAAAAATGTAGGGAAAGATCGTTCTTGTGACGCTTGTGGAATTGTCTTGACATTTTCTGGCCAAGTTTCTTTTGATTATCCCTTTGGATCATGGTTGAGCCACACCTGTTTGTAAGCACTCACTTGTTCAACATGCTTCAAGAGCATGCTCCAAGATTTGAGATTTGCAATCTACCAAGGCAAGAATTGGAGCTCAGCGGAGCAGAGGTGCCAGCAAATTGGCCGTCCACATCAACGGATCAAGTGTTTTCTTTCCTCAGAAGTCTTCAGCAGTGCACAGCAAGATGGCTTATCATTTTGTTTTGTCTTCGAGAATGAGATTCCTGCACATCAAGCTCAGCATGTGACCCATTGTTTGTCTTGATTCGCCTGATGTGTACTACTTTTGTCTCCTCGTCACCTGAGAGCACACGATAGTGCACCTTTGCTGTGGACTTCTTTCAGGCCACGAAACGTGTCCGATGCTTTCTGCCATGCTTTCAATAACATATATTCTTAGCACGCAAGCATTCTGCAACACACTTTAAGGCCTTCAATTCTCCTGCTGCTGCAACTGCTGATTTGTGCAATTACCCGCCAGCCCCGAAGACCTACTATATACTATATACCGAATACGTCCTACTACCTATCACCTACTGCAAAGCCACTCCTTTGACGATGGCAACGACGACGACCACGACGACGATGGCGGCTGCTACTGCTACCACCATCACCTACTACCTACCACCTACTACTTGCTAAGTCCTATCTCCTAACCACTAACCACCTACCGGCTGCGGCTACTAGCTACTACTGCTGGTGCTGCTGCTTCTATGCAGTGAAAACCACACCTGTGTCACTCCTTTTCTTACCCTTTGCTTAGAAGAAAAGGTGCCCCTGACCAGTTTGGACTTGAGTCTGGAGGAGGATGTAGACAGTTGGCAGGAGTGACCTCCTTCCAGAGCTGGTGGCAGCTTGTTTGAGCGAACTTGTGAACGATCAGACTCTTGGATCTCATTGTTGTCTTTTGTATCATTATTCAAATTGCAAGTGCATCTTGCCCTGTCGGTACTGACCTTGCATAGGATCCGGCTTGATTGTACACTCATCATCCCAGCCTATCTCGTCTCATGTGTTTTTTTCCTAAGCTGATAAAGGGCATCCCATGCGACTCAGCTGATTTGATCCCATGTCAATTGGCTCCATGATCTAATCTATTTTGCTGGATCTCACATTCTTTATATCTTGGTTGTCCCTTTGCTGACTTCGCCTTATCACCGATACCTCCACCTGCAGACAACTGCTACTGTGCTGTCCTCTGTAGTAGACATCCACTTTAGCCCATGGTCCTCGCAAGCTGCAGTCGTTTCTGCTTTTGGACATGTACTGTGCTGTTGATGTCTTGCTGTGCGATATTTTTTTTGATGACCTCCCTTGCAGTTTTGCTGTCCGACCACAGAGACTAGTTTCACCCACAGTCCCCTTTTTCCACATTTTCCAAACTCACATTCTTAAGTGTTTGAAAGATGTCTTTAAACAACTCTATATATAAAATACTTAAAAAACATACTGTACTATCTGTTTGTCAATAATCTCCAAACAAAGGACTTTAAAGAACAATTTACAAAAAAACATATTTATTAAAAAGGACAATTTGACTTTTTTTGCTTCCTATGAGCTTTTCTTGCAAAAGGACGTGGGGGAGATCACTACGGGATCCAGGAGGGACAGAAACTATAGGATCTAAGGTTGTCAATGATGCAAATCCATGAGGAATCCTTGTTGTTGGATTCACGAGCGACCTTATTCAAGGGAAAGCAACAAGGAACAATTGGCACCAAAATGTGTGAAGAAAGAGTATTTGGACAAGATGCAGGGTGATGATAAATTAATAAAGTATGGAGATGGCCTCAGAAGAGATTGTAGGAAGCATGAGCCATTGCTTGATCGAGGCCTGATGAGTGAAGAGTCGGAGTTGGCATTAGCAAATGGAGATATTGAAATTGAAGTGATTACCCAGGAATCAATGAAAGCATAGTCTTGGGATGGCTTTGAATAGGGGTTCATTGGCGCTGATTGGGTGTACCTCACATTGACAACCAGGATTCTCTTGCATGATCAGAGTTATGGGAAAATCGTGCTGGACATCAATCGGTTGCTGCAGGCCAAAGGATTACAGTAGGTGCTATGCTATTTGGAGTCAGGAATCTGAGGCTTGCAGCTCAGCGATTTGCTACAATGGTGAGTGATAGGTGAGTCTTTGCTTAACTCCCCATCACCATCACCCCATGGGCCAAATGTCGCCGGTAGGCAGGCGTGGCTTCTTTGTTGCATCATACAAGCAGGAGGAGGTGGCATTCTCCACTGGACACTGGCCAAGAGGTTGTGGATGTGCAGAGGATGTCAACAATAGTTTTAACCAATACAAAATGAGAAGGAAGCCTAGATGAAGCAAATGAAGGAGAATGTTGATAAGATCCTGAGGGCAGCCCAATAGCTGCAAGAGAACAGGATCAAGACGGCAGAGATTGCCATCAAGAGGTTGGAGAAGGGCAGTGAACTAAATGAGCTGAGGGAATTGGCGCAGTCAATGAGAGCCAAACACATATTCACCTATTTGGCACTATCCTGTCCAACGAGTCTCATTGACTGGGCAAGTTGCCTAAGGGATGAGCCAACAATGAGCCAGCATGAGCAAAAGGATTTTTTGGACTCCATTGGAGTTAAAGAAGGGAAAGAAGAAACGAGCTGGCCACAGGACCATAGGATGAGGGGTTGGTGAAACTAATGATGGTCAAAGAAGGGAAGAGAGGTGGTTAGTTGCAGGACATTTCAATGGATAAGGTTAGCCAAGCTAATTTGGGAGGGTTGGTGGATACCTACCCCATTGCCAGACAGTTTCTTTAAAAAGAGGTTAGTATCGCAGGAAAAAGTTGGGCCACACAAATAAGGAGTGTTACGAGTCAAATATCTCCATGAGGTTTCTTTTGGAAGATTGCCTTTGAGATGTGCAGATGTAAGGAAAAATGACATTCCTTTTTCTAAGTACTCGTGTTGAAAATGAGCAAACAACTCCAAGACACCGCCCCACAACGTCCCACGTTCTTCGCCAACTGCATATTTTCGGAAAGTCCGAGTTTGTTGGCGGTACAACAGTTTAGCACTGCCGGGCCAGGAAAACCTTTCTGCAAAGACTTCGTTGTGTATATATATATATAATATTGTTATACATACAGATTTGGAATAATGTGCTGGTGCTAAAAGGCACGTGCCAGCCCTTCAAACAATCTATTTGCTGCGTCGAGGTGCAGGCTACATCCTTTGCCTTCAAGACAGCCGACCCCACAGAGAATCGTTCACAGTGTTTTTGGCAAAACCAGTCTTTAACTTGCTCTATCTAGATCGGTTTGGAACGTTAGGGTCATGTTATTCCTGAATCTATCAAGGCGGCTCTCGCGAAGTTTGCAAGGGCATTGCCCAGTTTGGAAATGAGGCAGGCAGCTTGGTGGCCCGCATGGCAAGCCCACTGACATTGGCAGCATTTAGCCGCTGGGCTGCTTTTCATCTGAGTCTAGAGCGGCTCTGGAGAGACCCAACCCCTACCTTGCCACCCAACGAGTTGATGCATGAAACACAGAACCAAGAACTACGGTGAACATTGTTCTAACATGCAGGTTTTTGATTGTTTTGTTGCAGATGCAAGGCTTTGGCAACAATTTGACATATTGCAGACATTACAAGTCCCAGTGGCGTTGCCAAGTTCGCACGGCCTTTGTTTGTATGACCCCACAACACAACTCAACGAGGTAGTCATCATACTGCTGCGAAAGTATGTGTGCCGACCTGAGGAATATTCGGTTGTGAGTAGAATTCAGGCGTTCTCGATACATCACGAAAAGTAGCCCTTTAGGGGATACCTTGAGTTTGTCTTGCGAAGCAAGTGTCGGCGAGTCCGGGTCGAATGATTGATTGCTCAATTCAACCCCCCCCCCCCCCCCCCTCGAATTTTGTTCTCACTACACCCCCCCCCCCCCCCCCCCCGGGGAATTGATTTTTCAATACCGACCCCCCCCTCCCCCTTCTAAATTCAATTCTCTCCTGGAGAATGTCTTCGTGAGCCTCTCATGATTTCAGGATAGTTGAAACCCTCTTGAACATTCAGAAAGAGTGCATATGAAATTCTAATCACGAAAGGTGTTTCCCCAGGGGATACTATACATACCTAGAGTTTGTTTTGTGAAGCACGTCAATTCTCTCCTGGGGAGCGTCTTCGTGAGCCTCTTATGGTTTCAGGATAGTTCAAATCCTATGATGTTCCGATTCAATGCTCACCGATGATCTGAGCCATGGGGCAAGTTTGTTTTCCTAAGAATTTTTTTGAACGTTTCAAGAGCACATGTTTGAACATTTAAAGCATATGAACATATATTTACGGAAGGTCGCCTCCGAGGGGATAAATCACCATGTCAAACATTGCATTTTTGTTCCTGCCTCTCGCGTTCTCTTCTCTTCCCGCTGTCCTACCTTTCGTGTCTCCCTCCTCTCAAGTGATCTACAGTATGTTCTTTTTGCTGAGAGGAGAATCAGGCGTTTAGAGCGATTTTGAGATGCGCCGTTTGTGACATGCTTGCGCAACATCCGATATCTACACAAGAGAGACAGGGTGCCACCAAGTCGGCCCTTGCTTGCTTTTTGGCTTCTCCGGATTTACATTGAGGATCTGATGGACATCGCACCCAGACTACCAACCTCGCACTAGATTTTTGCATCCGATTTCATGGTACGGGCTCGGCCCAAGTCCCTTTTCTGGTAGTATTTTGGCTCAGGTCGTGGCTCCACTTGCAGCAGTAGGAATCTCTATGCACCTTGGAGGAATGACATTTGTGTGACAAAGTCTTGTTGTAGCAAAGGGCAACTGGGTCCACAAAACCTGAAAGAAAAAATATTTTTTCCTAAGGTCTAGACTAAGTGTGTTTGGGTTTGCGAGTGACAGGAAGAACTCGGGAAGAACAGGATGTAGAAGAGAGCGTTATTGGCTGAAGGGGCCTAAGACGATGGTTTACGACAGGAAGCGAGATGCCAGCTTGACTGCAGGTGTGCATCTTTTCCGGCCATCCGGCGGGCAGACCGGGGAGCATCATCAGGCCTGGATTTAGCTTGAGATTGATGGATGTTGGATTGTTTGGTCCGAGAGATCTTACAAGGACGGCCCCAGGCAAGGAATAACAAAAGACAATCCGAATTCCAAGCCTCAGAAATATTGAACATCGTAAAGCATAGACATGCACCATCAGGTTCGCAACCACTCTGAAGGGCAAAAACCACCCGATGTGTTCAGCCAAGGGGAGATACTGTTACTGTAAATCTGATGGGATACCAACCAGGTCCATTGATTGCTGTCCACTTGGAGCATTTTCAGTGCTTGTTGAGTTGACTGCAGGATTTGGGATGGTGAGTAGAAGTGACCAATAAGTGATGACTCTAAGCTTGTCCAAAGTAGTTTCACAAAGCCGCATGCAGGACTGAACCCGGGAATCACCAATGAACCAAAGGTTCAAGGTCAACACAGACTTGCATATGTATTTGTCTCAACTTAAGTCATGAGCACCCGATTAGGTAAAAAGGAAGGCGTTTGGGTCGACATGATGAACCGTTCACATTGGTTCCAATTGTTGCATTCTTTTTATTCTCTCTCACACACAACCATCAGGTCACAGCGAGCAGATACAGAAAGAGTGCTGGAACCTTGCAGGACTTTGCACATTTTGGAACCGCAAAGCAACCCAGAAGAAGAAAGAAAAACACAGCACGCACACACACACACACAACAGGCAGACACAGGGCTTGTTCATTTTTGCTCAATCTGCAATGCTGGTGACTTTTCAGGCGTTCCATGGTGCTGGCAATCAGGCAAGCTGCGGTGCCGTTGTCAGGAATTGCAAAGCTGCCAGTAAGCAAGCTGATAAGGATTCACTGCTAGGAGATCTTTTGTTCTCTCTATGCTTTGCAGCAACTTTTCTGATTTCTTAGAGTTTTTCCGATGCCCAGGCGTTTTAGCAGGTGCATTTTTCCTTTTTATCCGAGGTGCAGTGGCACCCTGAGATTCTAAGTCAACTACAGTATATATATATACTTCTCCAATGAAACATCAAAGTGAATCTGAGGAAATCTAAGAAGTGCGGCTGCGCGTAGCAGCAATATTTCTGAGGTTCCAACTGAGGAGGACACCTTCGCAAGCTTTATCTCTACGAAGGCAAAAAAGACCACAAGCAACTCTCAGCTTTCAAGCTAAGTTTCCCTAAAGATCTAGGAGCCAAATCATTAGTGCTCACGCTTCTTCAAGGAAGCTCCCCCTGCCCTCAGGTGGGGGGAGCTTCCTTGAAGAAGAATGAACAATGCTGTGTCCATATGTAGCAGTTTCCTATTGCTAGTAGCTTACTTTTCCCTTACTTATTTAAGTAGGAACCTACTTAATTAAGAAGGCAGGGCCACGGGCTAAAAATAGAGGTTCTGTGAAGTGCTCTCGCATGCTTCAGGTGAGTGGAGTCTGGGTTGGAATCAGAAATGCCAGCGGCAGCCTTGGTGGCTTCGCAGCGCTATGCTGCTTTCAGGCGTGACCGTGAGCTGGTGAGCCTTCCGCTTTACTTGCTTCATTTGTTTCACGTTGGAAAGGGTCATGGAACATGGGTAGCTCATTGGTTTAGGGGCTTTTGGACATTCGGTTCGAAAGATGTATCATTTGTGCACATTCAAGAACTTTGTTCGTTATTCAAAAGGGTAAGAGATATGATCAGCGGCAAGGGTGCTGTTGCAAGTAGATGGTGTCAGTACTGCAACAGGGCTGTGAGTCTGCATCTTAGACCCCAAACATGCTTGTGGACGATTATGATGATAGAATAGAAGCAATTCCATTTTGACGGCATGCACCCTAATATGGTGTTCACATATTTTCTCTCACTTTACAGAATTCTAGATTCCAATGTTCGTGCGAACTTGTCGAAAACAACTCTTGAGGCGTTGCCTGTGGAGATCACAAAGAATTTGCGGCTGACGATCCTCATCACAACATGCCAAGCCGTGCCTCGTACAAACGGTCGACACTTCATTCTCCAGCTCTAACTCTCTAACGTCATAGAGTTTGAGGTATCCAGGGTTTGTGTGTGGCGCGCACGATTTGTGTATGCATGCAGCTACAAGGGCACCTTGCAGGTATACACACATGTGAGTGCATATGTTACATACATCAGCAGATGTTAAGGATGCCACCTGGACCGACTTTGTGCATGAATAACTGCCATATAGCTAAGCAAACGGGAGAGGAGGACACTGAACTGTAGGCCCCAAAGATGACCGTGGAATGCCAATGTTTGCTACTTTTCTGCTTGGAGGTGTTGGTTGGAGGAGGGCTACGCCTTTTCTTGTCAACAGTAGACCTCAGCTGCTTTGGCATGGACTTGTTTATTTTTTGATGGGCTATGTCTCAGCAACACGTACACATTTTGCTTGTTTTCAGCATGGGCTGGACACTTCCAAGGGATGGAGGTCAAAGTTCAGCATCAAGTTTAAAGAACGATGAAGCTTGAGTGTCATGGACACAGGTTTGAAGCCAGTCTTGTCCTACCGATGGACTTTCTTGATTCTCTCTATATATATATATTATATATATATATTATTTGTTTTTTCACGTATTGTTTTTGTTTGGTTTGGAAACTGAGGCAGTTTTCCATGGCTGTATGCACTCTGCACAGCCTTGGGAGGCAGCTAGGGTCAATGAGCTTGGCACAGCATGTCAGCATCCAGGGCATAGCTCTTACGTATATAATATTTAAGTTGAATGATTCCATTTGGCCTTCTTTGTTCTCCCTCTCTCCTCTCTCTCTCTCACTTGCACCACCTCCCCTTCTTTCGCCGTTCTCCACTCTGGATGTATCAGACAGAGTGAAAATTCTTGAAGGTGCAGCGGACAGCTTGGCATTTTTGCCGAACCTTGCGATTTGTGCCGACTGCGCACCGAAGGACCAGCAAGGTACAAGCAAGAGTGCAGTCGTACATTGGAGCATTTTGAGTCAAATGGCAATAAGTGGGTTGACAGGGTGTTTTGCAGATACCAACTATGTATAGAGTATGGTCGAAGTCCGTCCACTCGGGTGCACCGTCGCACTGCCTGAGGATAATTGGTTTCCGTGACTTTTTTGTCGATCTAAAAGTCGCAGGACTTTGGAGCACTGGGCTTTGCTGTGCTAAGTCTCTTTCTCGACCTTGGAGATCAGGCTGATTGACCAGTGGGCACAATTGTCTAGCTGAGTCAGCAAAAGGTCTTTGTCTTTGTTCTTTTTTCCCCAACAGCGGAGCCGATCTCACAGCCAGTTCCGGAGCAGGTTCTGGAGCAAGTTCCGGAGTAGGTCTTAGGTTGTGGAGCAGGTTTCTAGAACATGTTGCAGAGATGCTGACATGCTGTTGTTGAGATTGTCATAGCGCAGAGCTGACTTACTAACATACAGTGTTTTGGTCACGCTGACCAGTTCTTGCTGACATGCTAACATGTTATCATGCTGACATGCTAGGTGTTGCTTGATGTGCCGAAATGGTGTCATGTTGCTGTTATATAAAGCATTCTCATGTGGATGTGCGGACGTGTTCACGTGTTGCCTCACTGATATGCTAAAACGGTGTCACGGAGTCTTGTTGCCAGGCTGTCATGCTGTGATGCTGGCATGCTGACTTGGTCACTCTAACACGTGGACATGTTGTCACGGTGAGATGCTGAAGTCGGATCATGCTGTGGTCCTGACATGCCGGCAGGCTCCAGAACAGGCTCTTGAGAAGTTTACCTGGTTCTTGCTGGTTGTGGCGTTGTCATGCTGCACATATGTGGGCACATGTGCCAAGCTGACATATTGCCGCCTTGTGATTCTTGCATCGCAGATTGAAGGGGTCACATGTTTTGAACAGGATTGTTTAGCAAGGACAGCACATGTTGGTAAACTTGCGATGTTGCCATTGCCCAATAGGCAGCTGTTGGTTTTATTTGGGTCTATATATTTTGGATCTTTTTCCTTGCAGTTTTCATTGCCTGTCAAGGTTTCCTCTAGGCTTGCAGCTCTGCTGACGGAGGTGCCTGCACCCGAGTGATCAGAGACCCGAGTGATCAGAGCCTACAGAAGGGTATTGGTTTGCTTGATCCAAAAATATAGATTACTGCTTTGCCTTAGTTCATTAAACTGACTTGGGCTAATCCACAACCGTGTGCTTTCTTCAAAAAAGTTAAAGATGAATTAGCAAATCAGTGTTTTGATCGCAACATCGGCTGACCGAAGGCTGCAAGGCTGTTTTTATGTTCAGAAGAGGAATATTATCATCCTCATGGGCAACAAGAGCTGTTGGAACTTTCAACATGAAACTCAGAGGTGATTCTCAATTCTCAATAAGACAAGAACAGCCTCTCCTTCCCTATGCAAAAAGTACTGCTGCCGCTACTGCTGAGAGTGGACGTGCTGGAAATGGGAGGACGTCAAACTGAGATTTCAACTCTCAGATTTAGTCTGCTTTGTGGAGAGCCTCAAAAACTTGGAACAAGCGGATCTCAAGCGTGCCTCAGGCGTACCACATCGGCAATGGCAAGGATGGGGTTCTAAAACTGTCAATCAAGCTTGTGAAAGGACTGGTTCGACATGCATGCACTGATGTAGGCCTTGTAACAAGCTGGTGCTGGGAGAAGGACTACCTTGTTTTCTGGACAGAACGACCGCGAATTGGGAAACTTGAGACCTGAGGACGCTACTAGGAGCAAAAGGGCATCGCTACTAGGAACAAGGACGCTACTAGGGGCTCCTGGCCTTACTACTAGGAGCAAGGACGCTACTAGGAGCATCACAGAAGTTCTTCCCTCTTCAGAGCTCAACTCGAACTTCCTACCAACCAGGACCGCTCTTGGGCTCATCTTGGCAGCTATGTGGTGCTTTGTCGCCTTTTCATGCTGCTCCCGCTATGTCTTCTGCTTCTTCCAGGAATCGCTCTCACTTTGGGCTTTCTAGAACACTCACCATCTTCAGTACAACCATTATTTGCAGTTGGTGTCCAAAGGGGGCTGAATGCTGTGTAGTCTAAACCTTGGTCCCTAGCAGACATTGTTTTTCTGCAGCTGTGCAACCTCTATACCTGAGTGCATATACTGTCCAAGCCAACCAAATGCTTTGTCATTTTTGGAGAAATCATGTGATGCAAAGATATGCAACCACCGAATTCTGTGTCCTTTACAGACTGATAGCAGCTGGCTCGATTTTGTTCGGGCATGTTCGATCTAGCATTTAGATCCAGCAGGCAAAGTACAACCTTCCGACACAAAATCAAGTCCGCGCAGTAGTGCAACCAAGAAAGAAAAGTCAATAGTAAAGCTACTAATACAGCACACATTGAATTCAGAGTATTTCAAGTTTCATAGAAGGCAACCTACATTACCCATCAAAATTGCAGATTGAGCAACGCTCCTGCATAGTGACCTTTGCGTGCCTCAGTGCCACCATGGGGACTCGTGTCCGCATCACTCAAAATCGCCTTATGGGAACTGTTTTGAGTTGGAAGGGTCGCTTTGGCTGGATTCGGTCAGACAAGAGAATCAACCATGAAGAAGCAGTTAAACATGGTGGCCGTGTATATGTTCACATTTCAGATGTGGAAGGCCGGGTTGAACTTGCCGAAGATGCCCGCGTGTCATTCTTTGCGTACAGTGATGGGGATGGCTTAGGCGCTGAGCAAGTTCAGATTGAGATCCAAAATCTAAGCCATCGCACGAGTGAGATTGCTGGAGTAGCAACAGTGGTCAAGACAAGGGCACAGCGCAGCAGTCCCAGTGGCCTCGGAGCACAAACAGGTACAGCAGTGCCTCCAAAGCCTAGCCCTGCTCAGCCAAAGCAACTCTTTCCCTTTGCAAGTGGCGTCGCGCCAAAAGCATGGCCATGCCCCAAGCCATCGGTGAAAGCGTCGCCAAAAGTTGCTCCCAAAGCCAAAGCTGTAGCAACTGGCTGGGATGACGAGGCATCAGAGACGCGAGAAAATCGAGAAGCTCCGGAGACCCCAGTAGCTGGAACTCCGATGGCCACGGTGCCAGAAGCAGAAGCATCAGAAGCTCCAGCTCGGCGTTGGCGCTTTCAAGGTGCTTCAGCACCGGTGAACGTTGCTCCCGAAGCAGCTCGAGCTGTGGCTCCGCCTTCACCCAAAGCGAAGGCTCCCCAAGCGAAGCCTCAAGCCAAGGCTGCCCCAGCTGGATCAATGGATGGCATGGCATTGGCAGCTGCAGCTGCTGCCAACTACACCCCACCTCCTGGCGCAATTAGATGGTGGAAGGATCTAGCAGGTGACTGCTGTCCTATATCGCTATCACCACTGGAAGAGCTTTCGGTGGATCCATTTGGATTGGTGGGAACCGCCGAGAATACTGAGGCACCCAGCGAAGGCATTTGGGGCAAAGCAGGTGAGAGGATGGTTTGCCAAGAGCAACAGCAATCTGTTCATTGGTTTGACGGTATGTTCTTGGCTTCCTTCCTTGTATCCTCTGGGCAGTTGATTGACCCTGTGAATCGCAGAGCTTTGTCAAGAGGAGAGTGCCAGTCGTTGGATGAGTATATCGCTGCACACGGTTTTCCTGCAGTGCATGTCACTGATGCGTTTGACTTGGCCAAAGCAGTAAGGACGACCAGGTCAGATGGACCAGCTGCAACCCGAATGGCTGCTCTTGAGCGAGAGGCAGCATCTATGTTGAGAAGTCTCTTCGACTTCCGCTCTGTTGGAAATGCAACTTCAAGAGTTGTGCCTGACGTCAATGCAGTGAGTGCACCTCAGAGTGGTGCAGAGGTTTCCGAAGAGCAGGCGAGCGAAGCGCCCGCAGCTTCAGTTCATTGGCCAGCACTAGAAGAATTGCCAACAGAATCTCGCCCAAGTGCACAGCAGGAAGAAAGACGCATCCGTACCTGTACCCAACGGACAGTGCACAATGATGGTGGTCTGCAGGTAGTGGATGACACGGAATTTGACGTGGAGTTCGAGGAGGATCCAAGCGAACCTACCCTTGCTGAATCTGCATCTGCACCACGTCGGTCCAGGCTTGCCAGACTTCCGCGTGCCCGCGGTGATGCTGCTCAAATTACATTCTCAGTAACAGGACGTGCTCGTGCAGAGCCTTCCTCCAGACCCCAGAGATCCCAAGCTCAAGCTCAGTCAGAGGAGAGTGGCGAATCGGATAGTCCTCAGGACGAACCATTGGAGGTTGAGACATGGATTCCAGAATGGGCAACTCCAGATTTGCACGAACGGCAGCTTGCTGAGATAGAGATCGTGGAAGCAATGTTTCCCGAGGAATTCCAGGTTCTGACTCCTGAGGTCAGGACACACTTGAAAGAATGCTTCTCACGGGGCATAGTGAGCCGAGCGCCAGAGCCACTTCGCATCCAAGTCTCACAGCACCTCGATGGGCCTCGAGGTGGCTGCGCGGCGATCGTCGAATTCTCAATGCCCCCCTTCTATCCTTTGCACAATGCAAGCATTGTGCTGCAAGAGGATGAAAGAACTGGAGCTGCGGGAGCTGGAACTGGCTGGATCCGGGAGGCCTTGAGTGCTCTTCAGATAACTCTGCGCACAGAGGTGCTGCCCTCGCTAGAGGGATCAGAAGTGATTCAGAAGGTTCTTGACTGGCTCAATATGCATGCTCCAGAAATCCTTGCTTCAAGTCAGCGCGAAGCTGCAGATCCCAAGCGAAAGCAGGAGCGTGAAGCTGCTGAACCTGCAGCATCGACCACCAAGGCAGAACGGATTGAGCAAGCTCGGAAAGAGCGATTGAGTGCCAAATTTACTGAAAAATGGGACCTTTGCTATGCCTTCGTGAAGCATGGCTCTTGCAAGGACAAGAATTGCCAATGGAGACATGAGCTACCCAAGAAGGAGGGGGCCAGCACACCTGATGAGAAAGATGAAGGGAAAGCCAGTAAAGCAAGCAGCTCAGGCAAGTCTACAGCCAAGGCTGGTGGCAAAAAGAAGAAGTAGTAGTCTCACTCAAGTGTCATGCCTTTTGGCCTTGTGCCAATTTTTGCAAGTTCCAAGTTCAACCTGAGAGACCCGGGCTTCAGAGTCTTAGGTCATGAGTTGCCAGGAAAAACGGATTCTCTTTTGCTATTGCCTCGTGTTGTTTGCTCAGCTGTGGTGGGCCAGCTTGGTGCTCTATGTTTTTTTGCACAGGCTTTGGCCGCAAAGGCACCAGCTATGCAACGGATAATAGCAGCCAGGCGGGCCCTAATGAGGTTGAGGCACACCATCGAAACCTACTGTAGCTGAGAAACAGTCCTTCACATTCCAATGTCAGCAGCGGTCCAGAATGGAGAGACAAGAACAGTTGTCGGAAGGTATTTGCAAAAGAGTAGATTTAGCAGAAGACAGATCTTATGTCACTGATGCATGCAGCTAAACAAGATGATTTTTATGTACCTGCACGTGAGAAAAGATGCCCAACGATCCAAAAGGCTATGCATGCCCCATCTGATTACATGCCCTTTTTCTCCTATGAAACGTCCCCAGCTTGATCAAACCATGTTCCTTTCTTGGCGTGATGACAAGCTCCTTCTTGACACATAACGACAATCCATATCTCTGCGTACTTGTACTGTTCTTCATTTGATGCTTTTTTTGCTGCTGCTTCAGACCTCGGTCCAGGTACCAAGCGGCATTCAAGCTGCTGAGAATACAGTTGGGGAGAGCCCCAGAAGCTTTGATGCCCAACATGGAGCCCTGCAGAGCTGAGAAGGAGAAGGCTTAGAGATGCAGAGAACGATTATCGAAAAGGGCTTTCAACTAAGAAGCGCTGCTTTTCGAGCAGATTGAAAGCGGAGTGCTTTGTGTGTTTGCAGCCGTTGAAACATGTTCGCAGAGAGTGTAAATTCAGGAATATGAGAAAGACGATGTAGCAGAATGTGCCAGCATATGTGCGTTTTTGTCGGATCATTCTTTGGTACATTTAGAGAACGCCCCTTAAACCAGGGGAGGAACAAAATGGGTAGATCCCAGTTAGCAAAAACTGGCAATAGAAACAATACTCAAGTGTCCTCGCCGCATCGATTTGCAGCCCAGCTTTCGGATCAAAAGAAGAAGGGGTCGTTCCACGAGTACGACAGCGACACATACTTTTTGCCCCAACAGGAAAGCTTGGGATCTTCAGCCAATCATAGTAAAGACGCCAGAGGGGATCGGAGCAAGTCCAGAGCAGGTTGCGGAGCAAGTTCCGGAGCAGGTTCCGGAGCAGGTTCTGGAGCAAGTTCTGGAGGAGGTTCCGGAGCAAGTTCCGGCAGGGCTGGAGTATACATTCCAGGTTCTAGAAAAAGTCCGGGAGTTCCGAGCCAGGCTTCGCAGCAGCTCTGCAAATATTCTGTCATGCTGCTGACATTGTCATGGCGTAGTGCTGGCATGTCACCATGCTGGCATGGTGTCACGCTGACATGTTGTCATTCCATCAGGCATCAGGCTACGATGCTTACATGGTGTGTGCTGTCACGTTGATACTGAGTCAAGTTGCAACTTGCAAACATGCATGCAGTCATGCTGACGTGCTGTGTTTGCTGACATGCTACTGTGCTTTCATGCTGAAGTGCTGCCGCGCCGACATGCTGACCTGGTGTTGTGGTGGCATGTTCTATATTACGCTTCCATGGGGATGTGTAGACGCAAAAACATGTTCTAAGTGCTGCTGTCACTGACACTCCTGAGTAGGTTACATGGTTCTTGTTCATAACAGCGCTGTCATGCTAGCACATATGTAAACTTATGTGGACACACATGTTGCGATGTGGTGATGCTTGCATGGCGCATGGAAACGGCCACATGTTCCAAAGCGGCACCGCCTGGAAGGAACGCAACACTGGTTTGTGGACTTGCTATGTTGCCATGGCTTGTTGACTAGGCGTTTCTTTAGACCTTGAAACCGTTCAGTTTTGTTAACAGTGAAGCTGAGGGGGACTACAGCCAACCGGAGCAGGTCCCAGGGCATGTTCCGGAGCAGGTGGTAGAGCGAAGCAGGTTTCCGGCGCAAGTCGAAACAGGTTCCGGAGTTTCGGGGGAGCTTTTGTTCTGGAGCAAGTTCCGGAGCAGCTTCTGGTGCAAGTTTCGGTTCCAGATGTTCAGGAGCAGATCCTGGACCAATTCCCTGAGCACATGTACAGTTCTAGAGCAAGTTTTGGAGCGAGTTCCGGAGCAGGTTTCGGCCCAGATTCCGGAGCCTCCGGACAAGTTCGAGAGGAGGCAGAAGCTCCAGAGCGCTTTCCAGACATGATAAATGTCGCTATGACAATGTTTGCACGGGGGTAGTGCTGACACGTCATGAATGATGCTGGCTCCCTGTCACGTATACAGAATGCTGTCACGCAGACGGGCACATACACTGGCATGATTCATATTGTTAGGCTGGTTTGCTGGCATAGTGTCACGCCGACAAGTTGTCAGGCTGTCATGCTGACATGTTGTCATGCTGGATTGGGGCAAGACGCTAACAAGTTGTCACTGAGATGCGGAAATCGGGTCATGCTATCGCGCTAGCTTTCTGGCGGGCTCCAAAACCGGCTCTGGAAGCGGTTTTTTGATAGTTGTTTTTTGCGGTGTTGTTGTCATGCTCGCACATATGTGGGCACATGTGCTACACAGAGGTATTGCCGGGTTAATATGATCGCATGGCACATTGAAAGAGATCGCACTTGTGAAAACGGCTTTACAAACAAACGCGCACACACATGCACCACTTGCTAATGAACCTGCAAACGTTACAGGCTAAGTGACAAATGAATGGCAAATGCCAATATGTTGCCATCGCTTTATCAGCAAACTCATGACCAACTGTTGGGATTTTCTTGGGTTTTTGTCATTGGGACTCATTTTGCGTAAACAACATGTCACGTGAGAGAACGGAAGTCTTCGTGTGGCAGCGGCGGTGATATTTTCCAACGGCTACTCACAGTAGGATACAACGTTTTACAAAGCCGCACACACCAAAGCAGTTCAATCGCAGGAGGTTTTGACATGAATTTGTACAAACACACTTTTGTTTTCATGTTCAAGCGAAACTCTTTTAGCATTACGGGAGTTTTTTGCTTTGCTGGGCCACAGCTTCTTGTTGCCATGTCAATGGCGCCTGCTTTCGCCTCGTCTCAGAAACCAGATGATATTATTGATGTCTCCTTGGAGATACCTGTGGTGCAGGTGGATGTTGCAAGTGTTTGTCTCTGCATACTACTGGTTTCAACATTGCAAACAGATGTGATTTGTGCACGCAGATTTCAAACAAGGCTCTGAGAAACATGCATGAATCTCTTCGTATGAAGCAACATTGCTGGGATTTTTTTAAGGGTCTCACGTTTGCAGTGTACGAGTTCTGGCAACTGAAAAAACACAATAATCTATTTTCTTCACCCCTGCAGGGTGACACTTCGCATCGGCTTGATGTGCCTTGGCGATGTTTCAGCATGATCGCGTGAAACTGGTGAAAGACACCAGAAACTGCTAAGGAGAGCTGGCGGCGCCTAAAGTCATTAGTTGTTACGGCAAAGTTGGTGTTTCAAGTTGCCTTAAGCTTTGCAAACCAACTGGTGGTATCAGCACGGTTCCCTTTTTTTGAAGATGGTTGACCCTACAGCTCGAGCTTCAGAAACACTTCTTTGTGTGCTCAGTCGTTCCCAAAACCGGGCCCACTGGCCCAGCGAGTGCCGCAACAACATGAATTCCTGAAGCCCCTTTGTCAACAACAACAACAACAACATGTTTCATGTTGGCCCCTTTGTCAAAGCCATTTCAATCTGGTCAAAGGGAATTTAGATGAGAAACTTCCAAGGTATGAAAACTTTAGCTGTTGGCCTTGGTCTCTGTGGGACTGAATTCGGCAATGTCTTGTATTTGAACGTGTTTGAACGTAAGAGGTCGCAGGAAATGCTGGTTGTAAGGTCATAGATCGCCGTGGCAGGGCATTGTCAGGTGCACCCCCACGGCGGGCAATTTTAAATCGGCCTTTTGAGAACTACAGAGATTTCTGCAATAGGTGCAGACAATTAGAGGCCTGTGCATGGAGAACGATACAAGAAATTGTCTGGAGACAGAAAGTAGAGATTTCAACAGGGCAAACAAGAAAAGATATATTTCTAGAGGGAAGTCACCAATCTACACATCACCATATCAAAAATACAGGCGCTGCCTTTCAGAACATTGCACTTCACGTTTCAACCCTCCTTTAGATACTGACATATTGATATCACACTCACAGAGTGTTACGTTGCCTCCAAGCACTTCCAGATTCAGATTAGGTGTGCCACGTAGTAGCTCGGTTCTGTGTGTCTGAAACTCAAGTCGTCATTCTGGGTTGGCCAGGAGGCCTTCGCTATTAGGTTGGAGGCCATCGCTATCAGAAAACAACAATGGCCTCCAACCTAATTTAGTTCGATTCTTCCATTCAATGCTGTTGCTGGTCCAGCGGACCAGCTTCGCTGTGCATCCTGGTTGCTGACAATAGCCTCCAGCCAGTATAGTTTTCGCTGAACCTGTATCCTCAGACTTTTTCAAGGCGTTTTCTCCTTTGGAGCTTCGAACGTTTTGCACAGATTTCTGAGGAACTACTGCTGCTCCATGAGCAGAGGCTTGTCCATGCTATGGAGGACACACCAGCACCAACATTTCTTTGGCACTGACAGGCCATGGGCCATAGCTAGTAGCCTAATGACTTTCAATCGAAAATGATAGTCTGTTAAGGTCAGGCAACTGTTTGGCGTACTTGCCTTTGGTGCTGCCAGGAGGGGTTCTCTCGCATTCAGACCGAATTTTTCATGATTTGAGCTTGGTCTTTGATTATATAACTAAATATTTGTACGACACAAGTGTCGCTTCGAGTGGACCCTTTTTTCTTTGGAAGAGAAACCGTGAAGCAGAGCGGGGAGGAAGGAGACATAGATCGATGACAATGCTGAGGTTCAGATTTTCAAAGTATCAATCGCTTTCTAGGTTCTTCTTTTGCAGGCTCTCGTTGGGGGCTCCGTGAATGTCACTGTGATGGAGCCATCAGCTCCAGTAAAGGCACTGCAGGGAATGACAGAAAGTTACTTTTTGCAAGTTCACTTGTTTGTATTGTTTTTGTTGTTCAAACATATGAGAAGACCCACTAGGATCCTTCCTTGCCAAATCAAGAATGCCACAGTACTATCCAAGTACTAAGCCACCACCTTAGGCTTTCCTACTCCTTGATCACATGAACAGGAAGGCTTGTTCCTTTTTACAAGTCCTTTATTATTAGTTTAATATATATATACATGTTCTGTAATCCTTTGCTTGCCTTTATATATATTTGTTTTCCTATTTTCCGTTTATGGACATTCCTTTTCAGAAATTGACTTCACTATGCCTCACTGAGAAGAATATGCAAGAATGCTTCTTGTGAGCCAAGACAACGTGACATCAAAGTATAAATGTGCTTACAAAGCGCTTTCTTAGAGAAACATTTCAAGCGCTGGAGGCACCAACCGTGGGGGAGGCAGATATCACAACTCAAGATGTGGGAGGTGCTTCTCGACAGGCCCGCTGACCGAACCGACGGACAGCTGAGAAAGACAATTTCCTTTGTCAGAAGAAACCATGAAACCAAAAACACTTGATCAAAGGAAGTTTAGTGTGCAAAACTTCCGTGTTACGGACATTCAACAGCTGTTCAACCACCACTCATCATACACCACTCATCAAACACCACTCATCATACACCACTCATCATACACCACTCATCATACACCACTCATCATACACCACTCATCATACACCACTCATCATACACCACTCATCATACACCACTCATCATACACTACTCATCATACACCACTCATCATACACTACTCATCATACACTACTCGTCATACACCACTCATCATACACTACTCATCATACACCACTCATCATACACGACTGATCACACACCACTCATCATACACCACTCATCATACACCGCTCAAGCTCCAGGCAACTCCAGCTCCAGGTGCAGATTTCGTGGCAGGTGCAGCACTTTGTGAACCTCCATGTGCAGATTTCGTGGACAAAATGGGTTGTGGAGAGATAGCGAAGGCACGAAATGCTGTATTTTTCAATAGAACCGGTGGCTCCGAAGCTGGCAAGTCAAGGTCTGCCGAACGACGGTTGCGAGACGGTCTCGGGCCATGCTCGGATCATGCTCGGATCATGCTCGGAATCGTCCGTCCATTGGGATTAGAGTTTTCACTTGTTTCTTGAAGTGCAGATTTCGTGGCAGGTGCAGCACTTTGTGAACCTCCATGTGCAGATTTCGTGGCAGGTGCAGCACTTTGTGAACCTCCATGTGCAGATTTCCTGGCAGGCACAGCACTTTGGGAACCTCCATGTGCAGATTTCGTGGCAGGTGCAGCGCTTTGTGAACCTCCATGTGCAGATTTCGTAGAAGGTGCAGCACTTTGTGAACCTCCATGTGCAGATTTCGTGGCAGGCGCAGCACTTTGTGAACCTCCATGTGCAGATTTCGTGGCA